TCAAAACAATAACCACGTTCGTGTAATGCTTTCCTAAAAGCAGGTTATTTCAAAATTTAGTTAACACCGCATTCCATTCCGCTAATATCAAGTTATTAGATAGACAATTACGAAATGTATTGAGTCATGGCTGTAGTGCAAATTCTCATCTAAATTTGACTAACATTTCAATCATTTTGGATTTTCATAGGTTTCAGAATTAAGGCCCTTAGCATCACCGACGAATCCTAAGATGGCCTCTAATAGACTCTGAAGCTGTGTCAAGGGGTGCTATTTTCTTGTGTGTTTGTTGTAGAACTTGCACAAGTTATTTGCCAATGTGTAAGTTAACTGTTGGACCCAAAAGACCGTTAATATAGAATGATACACCTTATTGCGTTTAATGAAGCTATGCAACACATTTATCTTATCATCATACCCGAAATATTGATTAAAGATGTTAGATAGTCTGTTACAGGTAGGATTCCATACGGTAATTGAAATATTCATACAAAAGATGAAATGTTGTTTGAAGAGTGCTGTTGCTGAACCCAAGGTTTTTTACAGTCAACATTGACGAACATTTTTATCAATAACATTTTACTGCTGTCCAACCTCAGCCTTATTCAAACTGTTTTTAACCACATTCTTAGTGTTTAAAAAAACAAGATAAGATTGAAATGGTAAACATTTTAACAGTACTCTTATTTAGCGCTTCTCCAGCTAAACTATTCCCGGAGTAATATTTATTGGACTTAATGCAGTTTCTGAACTGAGAGAGAGAGAGAGAGAGAGAGAGAGAGAGAGAGAGAGAGAGAGAGAGTTAATCACTTAACATGACAAACAACTTTATCACTAACGTTTTCAGGCCTCGCGGCCATCTTCAGGTTTTATCACGAACGTTTTCAGGCCTGGCGGCCATCTTCAGGTTTTATCACGAACGTTTTCAGGCCTGGCGGCCATCTTCAGGTTTTATCACTAACGTTTTCAGGCCTCGCGGCCATCTTCAGGTTTTATCACTAACGTTTTCAGGCCTCGCGGCCATCTTCAGGTTTTATCACGAACGTTTTCAGGCCTCGCGGCCATCTTCAGGTTTTATCACGAACGTTTTCAGGCCTCGCGGCCATCTTCAGGTTTTATCACTAACGTTTTCAGGCCTCGCGGCCATCTTCAGGTTTTATCACTAACGTTTTCAGGCCTCGCGGCCATCTTCAGGTTTTATCACTAACGTTTTCAGGCCTCGCGGCCATCTTCAGGTTATATCACTAACGTTTTCAGGCCTCGCGGCCATCTTCAGGTTATATCACTAACGTTTTCAGGCCTCGCGGCCATCTTCAGGTTATATCACTAACGATTTCAGGCCTCGCGGCCATCTTCAGGTTATATCACTAACGTTTTCAGGCCTCGCGGCCATCTTCAGGTTATATCACTAACGATTTCAGGCCTCGCGGCCATCTTCAGGTTTTATCACGAACGTTTTCAGGCCTGGCGGCCATCTTCAGGTTTTATCACGAACGTTTTCTCTGTATATACGATACACCAAGTTTTTATCTTTTTAAATTATATATATATATATCTGGCTGTTGTCGCTGATGAACTTGAGAAGGTCTTCTCCGCGAAACATAGATGTAACATTTGATTTCCTTTGACTTTTATATAATTTTTTCCTTTGCTCAAAGTCTACTGTATTTATATTTTGTGAGAAACACGTGTTGCTTTACACACCCATGTTTATTGGAACATATAGAATTTAACTGAAATTGTTGAATATAAAATCTCATAACTTAAAGAACATAGTAACCTTACAGAAACTATTTCATATTTAAATGCTAAATATAAATGAACACGTGTCATCTGAAAAGATGCTAGAATAATAAAATTCAGCACAAACGAATGTTAACTCATTGATATTCCTGTTTGGCTATAGAATGTAGTGTTGTAAGCCTCAGATACCAGCAGTAGAGTTTTGATGGAATTTCCAGTCAATATTGTCTCATAGTTCTACAAAAATCAAACAATATGAAGAGAATGGTGAGTACACGACAATGACGACGACTTCAACAACGATAACAATAACAACAAAAACAACAACAACATTCAGCTTGACCTTGATTTTAAATATTAATCCTAGAATTTCAATAGCTTTATAGTAGATCAAATGATTTGTAGTAATATAAGCCTCAGTTTAAATGTCATCCAGTCACGTCCTAAAATTCACCAAAACAAACAAAATCCTAAAAGCAGACGAAACGTCTTTGTACGATTATCGGAAACATTAACAACAAAAACATACATCTAATATATATGTTTTAAGCATGGTTACGTTGGTTAATTTTTTAATCATATTTATAATACTTCAGTATCATCATATTCATGGTAGTACTCAATGAATAATTGGAACCGCTGATGTGATTTGCTGGGCTACTTATTTTATAAAAGCTGTATATATTTCACGCTTAAAGCACGCATTCATTCATGAAATCGTTTATGCAGGGATACGTTATCTGATGATACAAACACGAGACCATCGATACCATTTATAGTTGGGGCAGGTTGTTACGCAGACCCTCATAAATGATTTTTTTATCCTCAACTTATTGTTTGTGTTTTGTGCATACCATAAAATCGGTATGCATTATGTCAGTGTTTAGCATTGTAAAGCTTGTCCGAGACCGATCGATTAATCTCTCTCTGGTTTGACATTTCCTCACAAATCTTCTCCCTACAGAATGATCCTTTACTCGGCAAGACAGCTGCACTGTTACTAGGCTGCTGTGTTTTAGATTTAGCGGTGGTGGAGGGGATAGAGGAGGGGGAGATTGAGGTAGTAAAACATTTCGGTAAATAAGTACATGTGTAGGTAATGAATGTATTGTCAATACGGGCGTCCGCATAGACACTACACGCGCATACAGTAACGGCGCGTGATTAGTTAAACATCGTCTGGTCCATCGTAGATAAAGCTATATATAACCGTTGTCCAAAGTTCTGCCAAGTTCTGGTTAACTCTCGTCGTTCTTTCATGATTTTTCGTCTTATTGTCCATTAGTTATTGTGACTTAACATGTTAACAATTCAATTATTTATTCTTCATGGCATTTTCTAGTTGATTCCGTACATCGAACCGGTTCTTTTATAAACAGAAACATCAGATATATAATTGCACAATCAACACACTAACCGTCTCAGTTCTACATCATGCTAACTATTCTTAAATACACGGTGTTTGTTCTTGTTCGTTAGCGACTTTTATGCAAGACAAATACATGTATCTAATAACAGATGGAAATACATGGTTAATTTATAAACATATTGATATTTACTTTTTCTTGTACTTTCCGACATTCCGTGTCGCCGTCCGATATTTTAAAGGGCGCCTATGCTTACTGGCACGACCTCATTCACTGCATTATTTGAGTCTTTGCCAACAAAAACCTATTTCTATGTAATGAAACTTGTCATTTCATTTATTATTGCAGGGACATGTATGGGTGACGAAACACGGCAATACATATTTCTTAAAAAGAAAAAAAACTGGACGTCGATCTAGAAAGATAGCTAAATAAACAATTACATAACTTTCTCGTCCGAAAAAAAATATTATTAAAAGTTCAATCTTCATTATAATTTAACTTTAAAGATATTAAATGAAAGCAAATTATAAACAAATAGAGCTATACACCAAACTGTTTCTGGAAAGTCCCAGTTGTACAGGAAGGGTGCGCCTCTTCTTTTCATTCTTAAACTGTGATGCCCACCTTGTATACTTTGTATATAAAAATCAGTGATAAATGTGACGTTATCAAAGAGAGAAACGGTGCAGTCACAACAAAGTCACAAGACAAAATGAAGACACCTCAATGTGCATCTTTATATTGCAACTGGAAATAGGGCATTCCTGTTTGAACTCATGTAGCACATTTGGATACAAATATATGTTTAAGCTGCAATACATGAACGAATTAAACCGAAACATACAACTGTTGTCATCTTCTAGAACTATTTAGTGATGTTGGGGCTACAAATATGGATATCCAGAGGTGGCTGTGTTCTCAAAATCAAAGTCACTTACATTAAAATATATAGAAGGGGGATTGGATGGGTGCACATAAATAAATCAATGTGACAAATTTTGATATTGGAAACAATTTTGAGAGAACGTCAATGACATTTATAAATTCTCAATCGTTTCTAGAACGACCGCGGTAGCTAAAATGTCCTTCGGCAGATCATACCAATGATCCCCAACAAACCTTTCAATTTGGGACAGGAGAACCAAATAAAAAGATATCCTGGGCAGATGTTAAACCATCAAAAGAGGAGTGTGTCTATACTTACTCCATATGTTAATGACAAGCAATGGAAACAAAGCATGGTTGCTACGAAATGTCTCATTGAGTGTAGGTAGAATATCCGTCATCTCGTATCTTACCATTAGCGAGTCCATGACATTCTGATATAGTCAACAAGAGATTTGAGCAAATGATTTTGAGACGTACCGGATGCACTGGACATGATTATGGAAAGTTGTATGGAAGCAATTATGGTTTCATCGATAATTGCTCTTTATCGTTGTGTAAAAGAAATTTTTATGGCTGGAATGTATATGCTCAGGAATTTTCTATCACTGTCGTGTTTCTCACTTTGATAACCTGAACATTTGAATCATGTGTTCATTACGAGTATTCCTGATTCATCAAAACGTGATAACACATTAAGAGCTTCTTGCCTTTTGCAGTATTTCCTAGAAGTATTTAGAATTTAGGTATCGATTGTTGTATATTACGATTTTGTTTTCCGTGGACGATGGACAAATCCTTTGTTTTAGATGAATAAATAATAATGATAAAAACGTAGAAACAATTGTTCTGTCAGGACGATAATGAAATATAAATTACATTGTCTTCTGATCTATCGTCTTAGTAGTGACCAGGAAAATGAGTTATTTGAATTTTCCTAAAAAAGTTTTTTAGAATATTTAAACGCAAAACATGTCATCTGTGCAATGTTTTCTGTTACAGGCAGATAAAGTGACAGATGAAACGCTCAAAGGTAAGTTACATTCATTACAATTCATTCTTTTTTTATCGCACGAACGTAATTGTTTTTTTTCTGTCATCAATGTCTGCATATGTTTGTGTTCTTCTTTTCTTTGATTTTTGATGTATTTTTCTTTTTACTGTCCTTTTTAAGATATGAGCTATTTCCTCTTTATCTACAGGTCGTATTACATTTTCCAGTCCGGAGATAGATATGTTCTTACTGACATGTTTTTCAAAATATATTTCTTTTGCAGAATGGCGGGAAGCGTTTTCAATGTTTGACAAAAATGGTGATGGCCATATCAATAGTACAGAACTAGGGACAGTTATGCGTTCACTTGGACAGGCGCCAACAGATGAAGACCTCTTCAAGATTATTCACGATGCAGATAATGACGGTAACATCACATAGAGAAAATTCGGTATTTCGTTGGTGAAAAAAAAAATACCAACATTTCAGTCAAACCCTAAAGTCAAAGTAAAAAAAAGCTATGGCAAAATCTGAACAACAGAAAGATTTACATGTAGACTACTGAAAAAAGCACCAAGAGAATAAGACCAGGTGTAACAAACTAAGCTACTGACCATTTTAGTCATGCATCGACACATTACTGTTTCTGCTTGTATTACATTAACAATGATATCGAAAAATATATCTGTAGCTTGTCAGTCATGTTGGCCCTTAGGACGTGTTTTGTGTTGTCTATCAGGAGATAGTAAGGGCCCCCGTAGTTTGCTGTATACTGTATCCACACTGTCAGTCATGTTGGCCCTGAGGACGTGTTTTGTGTATCAGGAGATAGTAAGGGCCCCCGTAGTTTGCTGTATACTGTATCCACACTGCCAGTCATGTTGGCCCTGAGGACGTGTTTTATGTATCAGGAGATAGTAAGGGCCCCCGTAGTTTGCTGTATACTGTATCCACACTGCCAGTCATGTTGGCCCTGAGGACGTGTTTTGTGTTGTCTATCAGGAGATAGTAAGGGCCCCCGTAGTTTGCTGTATACTGTATCCACACTGTCAGTCATGTTGGCCCTGAGGACGTGTTTTGTGTATCAGGAGATAGTAAGGGCCCCCGTAGTTTGCTGTATACTGTATCCACACTGTCAGTCATGTTGGCCCTGAGGACGTGTTTTGTGTATCAGGAGATAGTAAGGGCCCCCGTAGTTTGCTGTATACTGTATCCACACTGCCAGTCATGTTGGCCCTGAGGACGTGTTTTGTGTTGTCTATCAGGAGATAGTAAGGGCCCCCGTAGTTTGCTGTATACTGTATCCACACTGCCAGTCATGTTGGCCCTGAGGACGTGTTTTGTGTTGTCTATCAGGAGATAGTAAGGGCCCCCGTAGTTTGCTGTATACTGTATCCACACTGTCAGTCATGTTGGCCCTGAGGACGTGTTTTGTGTATCAGGAGATAGTAAGGGCCCCCGTAGTTTGCTGTATACTGTATCCACACTGCCAGTCATGTTGGCCCTGAGGACGTGTTTTGTGTTGTCTATCAGGAGATAGTAAGGGCCCCCGTAGTTTGCTGTATACTGTATCCACACTGTCAGTCATGTTGGCCCTGAGGACGTGTTTTGTGTTGTCTATCAGGAGATAGTAAGGGCCCCCGTAATTTGCTGTATACTGTATCCACACTGTCAGTCATGTTGGCCCTGAGGACGTGTATTTTGTTGTCTTGATATCAGGAGATAGTAAGGTCCCCCGTAGTTTGCTGTATACTGTATCCACACTGCCAGTCATGTTGGCCCTGAGGACGTGTTTTGTGTTGTCTATCAGGAGATCGTAAGGTCCCCCGTAGTTTGCTGTATACTGTATCCACACTGCCAGTCATGTTGGCCCTGAGGACGTGTTTTGTGTTGTCTATCAGGAGATCGTAAGGGCCCCCGTAGTTTGCCCTATACTGTATCCACACTGTCAGTCATGTTAGCCCTGCGGACGTGTTTTGTGTTGTCTATCAGGAGATAGTAAGGGCACCCGTATTTTGCTGTATACTGTATCCACACTGCCAGTCATGTTGGCCCTGAGGACGTGTTTTGTGTTGTCTATCAGGAGATAGGAAGGGCCCCCATAGTTTGCTGTATACTGTATCCACACTGTCAGTCATGTTGGCCCTGAGGACGTGTTCTGTGTATCAGGAGATAGTAAGGGCCCCCGTAGTTTGCTGTATACTGTATCCACACTGTCAGTCATGTTAGCCCTGCGGACGTGTTTTGTGTTTTCTATCAGGAGATAGTAAGGGCACCCGTATTTTGCTGTTTACTGTATCCACACTGTCAGTCATGTTGGCCCTGAGGACGTGTTCTGTGTATCAGGAGATAGTAAGGGCCCCCGTATTTTGCTGTATACTGTATCCACACTGTCAGTCATGTTGGCCCTGAGGACGTGTTTTGTGTTGTCTATCAGGAGATAGTAAGGGTCCCCGTATTTGGCTGTATACGGTATCCACACTGTCAGTCATGTTGGCCCTGCGGACGTGTTTTTGTTGTCTATCAGGAGATCGTAAGGGCCCCCGTATTTGCCCTATACTGTATCCACACTGTCAGTCATGTTGGCCCTGCGGACGTGTTTTGTGTTGTCTATCAGGAGATAGTAAGGGCCCCCGTATTTGGCTGTATACGGTATCCACACTGTCAGTCATGTTGGCCCTGCGGATGTGTTTTGTGTTGTCTATCAGGAGATAGTAAGGGCCCCCGTATTTGGCTGTATACGGTATCCACATTGTCAGTCATGTTGGCCCTGCGGACGTGTTTTGTGTTGTCTATCAGGAGATAGTAAGGGCCCCCGTAGTTTGCTGTATACTGTATCCACACTGTCAGTCATGTTGGCCCTGAGGACGTGTTTTGTGTTGTCTATCAGGAGATAGTAAGGGCCCCCGTAGTTTGCTGTATACTGTATCCACACTGTCAGTCATGTTGGCCCTGAGGACGTGTTTTGTGTTGTCTATCAGGAGATAGTAAGGGCCCCCCGTAGTTTGCTGTATACTGTATCCACACTGTCAGTCATGTTGGCCCTGAGGACGTGTTTTGTGTATCAGGAGATAGTAAGGGCCCCCGTAGTTTGCTGTATACTGTACCACACTGTCAGTCATGTTGGCCCTGAGGACGTGTTTTGTGTATCAGGAGATAGTAAGGCCCCCGTAGTTTGCTGTATACTGTATCCACACTGTCAGTCATGTTGGCCCTGAGGACGTGTTTTGTGTTGTCTATCAGGAGATAGTAAGGGCCCCCCGTAGTTTGCTGTATACTGTATCCACACTGTCAGTCATGTTGGCCCTGAGGACGTGTTTTGTGTATCAGGAGATAGTAAGGGCCTCCGTAGTTTGCTGTATACTGTACCACACTGTCAGTCATGTTGGCCCTGAGGACGTGTTTTGTGTATCAGGAGATAGTAAGGGTCCCCGTAGTTTGTTGTTTACTGCATCCACACTGTCACTCATGTTGGCCCTGAGGACGTGTTTTGTGTATCAGGAGATAGTAAGGGTCCCCGTAGTTTGCTGTATACTGCATCTACACTGTCAGTCATGTTGGCCCTGAGGACGTGTTTTGTGTTGTCTATCAGGAGATAGTAAGGGCCCCCCGTAGTTTGCTGTATACTGCATCTACACTGTCAGTCATGTTGGCCCTGAGGACGTGTTTTGTGTTGTCTATCAGGAGATAGTAAGGGCCCCCGTAGTTTGCTGTATACTGTATCACACTGTCAGTCATGTTGGCCCTGAGGACGTGTTTTGTGTATCAGGAGATAGTAAGGGCCCCCGTAGTTTGCTGTATACTGTACCACACTGTCAGTCATGTTGGCCCTGAGGACGTGTTTTGTGTTGTCTATCAGGAGATAGTAAGGGCCCCCCGTAGTTTTCTGTATACTGTATCCACACTGTCAGTCATGTTGGCCCCGAGGACGTGTCTTGTGTTGTCTTGATATCAGGAGATACTAAGGGCCCCCGTAGTTTGCTGTATACTGTATCCACACTGTCAGTCATGTTGGCCCTGAGGACGTGTTTTGTGTATCAGGAGATAGTAAGGGCCCCCGTAGTTTTCTGTATACTGTATCCACACTGTCAGTCATGTTGGCCCTGAGGACGTGTTTTGTGTTGTCTATCAGGAGATAGTAAGGGCCCCCCGTAGTTTGCTGTATACTGTATCCACACTGTCAGTCATGTTGGCCCTGAGGACGTGTTTTGTGTATCAGGAGATAGTAAGGGCCCCCGTAGTTTGCTGTATACTGTACCACACTGTCAGTCATGTTGGCCCTGAGGACGTGTTTTGTGTATCAGGAGATAGTAAGGCCCCCGTAGTTTGCTGTATACTGTATCCACACTGTCAGTCATGTTGGCCCTGAGGACGTGTTTTGTGTTGTCTATCAGGAGATAGTAAGGGCCCCCCGTAGTTTGCTGTATACTGTATCCACACTGTCAGTCATGTTGGCCCTGAGGACGTGTTTTGTGTATCAGGAGATAGTAAGGGCCCCCGTAGTTTGCTGTATACTGTACCACACTGTCAGTCATGTTGGCCCTGAGGACGTGTTTTGTGTATCAGGAGATAGTAAGGCCCCCGTAGTTTGCTGTATACTGTATCCACACTGTCAGTCATGTTGGCCCTGAGGACGTGTTTTGTGTATCAGGAGATAGTAAGGGCCCCCGTAGTTTGCTGTATACTGTACCACACTGTCAGTCATGTTGGCCCTGAGGACGTGTTTTGTGTTGTCTATCAGGAGATAGTAAGGGCCCCCCGTAGTTTTCTGTATACTGTATCCACACTGTCAGTCATGTTGGCCCCGAGGACGTGTCTTGTGTTGTCTTGATATCAGGAGATACTAAGGGCCCCCGTAGTTTGCTGTATACTGTATCCACACTGTCAGTCATGTTGGCCCTGAGGACGTGTTTTGTGTATCAGGAGATAGTAAGGGCCCCCCGTAGTTTTCTGTATACTGTATCCACACTGTCAGTCATGTTGGCCCCGAGGACGTGTCTTGTGTTGTCTTGATATCAGGAGATACTAAGGGCCCCCGTAATTTGCTGTATACTGTATCCACACTGTCAGTCATGTTGGCCCTGAGGACGTGTTTTGTGTATCAGGAGATAGTAAGGGCCCCGTATTTGGCTGTATACTGTATCCACACTGTCAGTCATGTTGGTCCTGAGGACGTGTTTTGTGTTGTCTATCAGGAGATAGTAAGGGCCCCCCGTAGTTTGCTGTATACTGTATCCACACTGTCAGTCATGTTGGCCCTGAGGACGTGTTTTGTGTATCAGGAGATAGTAAGGGCCCCCGTAGTTTGCTGTATACTGTACCACACTGTCAGTCATGTTGGCCCTGAGGACGTGTTTTGTGTATCAGGAGATAGTAAGGCCCCCGTAGTTTGCTGTATACTGTATCCACACTGTCAGTCATGTTGGCCCTGAGGACGTGTTTTGTGTTGTCTATCAGGAGATAGTAAGGGCCCCCCGTAGTTTGCTGTATACTGTATCCACACTGTCAGTCATGTTGGCCCTGAGGACGTGTTTTGTGTATCAGGAGATAGTAAGGGCCTCCGTAGTTTGCTGTATACTGTACCACACTGTCAGTCATGTTGGCCCTGAGGACGTGTTTTGTGTATCAGGAGATAGTAAGGGTCCCCGTAGTTTGTTGTTTACTGCATCCACACTGTCACTCATGTTGGCCCTGAGGACGTGTTTTGTGTATCAGGAGATAGTAAGGGTCCCCGTAGTTTGCTGTATACTGCATCTACACTGTCAGTCATGTTGGCCCTGAGGACGTGTTTTGTGTTGTCTATCAGGAGATAGTAAGGGCCCCCCGTAGTTTGCTGTATACTGCATCTACACTGTCAGTCATGTTGGCCCTGAGGACGTGTTTTGTGTTGTCTATCAGGAGATAGTAAGGGCCCCCGTAGTTTGCTGTATACTGTATCACACTGTCAGTCATGTTGGCCCTGAGGACGTGTTTTGTGTATCAGGAGATAGTAAGGGCCCCCGTAGTTTGCTGTATACTGTACCACACTGTCAGTCATGTTGGCCCTGAGGACGTGTTTTGTGTTGTCTATCAGGAGATAGTAAGGGCCCCCCGTATTTTTCTGTATACTGTATCCACACTGTCAGTCATGTTGGCCCCGAGGACGTGTCTTGTGTTGTCTTGATATCAGGAGATACTAAGGGCCCCCGTAGTTTGCTGTATACTGTATCCACACTGTCAGTCATGTTGGCCCTGAGGACGTGTTTTGTGTATCAGGAGATAGTAAGGGCCCCCGTAGTTTTCTGTATACTGTATCCACACTGTCAGTCATGTTGGCCCTGAGGACGTGTTTTGTGTTGTCTATCAGGAGATAGTAAGGGCCCCCCGTAGTTTGCTGTATACTGTATCCACACTGTCAGTCATGTTGGCCCTGAGGACGTGTTTTGTGTATCAGGAGATAGTAAGGGCCCCCGTAGTTTGCTGTATACTGTACCACACTGTCAGTCATGTTGGCCCTGAGGACGTGTTTTGTGTATCAGGAGATAGTAAGGCCCCCGTAGTTTGCTGTATACTGTATCCACACTGTCAGTCATGTTGGCCCTGAGGACGTGTTTTGTGTTGTCTATCAGGAGATAGTAAGGGCCCCCCGTAGTTTGCTGTATACTGTATCCACACTGTCAGTCATGTTGGCCCTGAGGACGTGTTTTGTGTATCAGGAGATAGTAAGGGCCCCCGTAGTTTGCTGTATACTGTACCACACTGTCAGTCATGTTGGCCCTGAGGACGTGTTTTGTGTATCAGGAGATAGTAAGGCCCCCGTAGTTTGCTGTATACTGTATCCACACTGTCAGTCATGTTGGCCCTGAGGACGTGTTTTGTGTATCAGGAGATAGTAAGGGCCCCCGTAGTTTGCTGTATACTGTACCACACTGTCAGTCATGTTGGCCCTGAGGACGTGTTTTGTGTTGTCTATCAGGAGATAGTAAGGGCCCCCCGTAGTTTTCTGTATACTGTATCCACACTGTCAGTCATGTTGGCCCCGAGGACGTGTCTTGTGTTGTCTTGATATCAGGAGATACTAAGGGCCCCCGTAGTTTGCTGTATACTGTATCCACACTGTCAGTCATGTTGGCCCTGAGGACGTGTTTTGTGTATCAGGAGATAGTAAGGGCCCCCCGTAGTTTTCTGTATACTGTATCCACACTGTCAGTCATGTTGGCCCCGAGGACGTGTCTTGTGTTGTCTTGATATCAGGAGATACTAAGGGCCCCCGTAATTTGCTGTATACTGTATCCACACTGTCAGTCATGTTGGCCCTGAGGACGTGTTTTGTGTATCAGGAGATAGTAAGGGCCCCGTATTTGGCTGTATACTGTATCCACACTGTCAGTCATGTTGGTCCTGAGGACGTGTTTTGTGTTGTCTATCAGGAGATAGTAAGGGCCCCCGTAGTTTGCTGTATACTGCATCTACACTGTCAGTCATGTTGGCCCTGAGGACGTGTTTTGTGTTGTCTATCAGGAGATAGTAAGGGCCCCCGTAGTTTGCTGTATACTGTACCACACTGTCAGTCATGTTGGCCCTGAGGACGTGTTTTGTGTATCAGGAGATAGTAAGGGCCCCCCGTAGTTTTCTGTATACTGTATCCACACTGTCAGTCATGTTGGTCCCGAGGACGTGTTTTGTGTTGTCTATCAGGAGATAGTAAGGGCCCCCGTAGTTTGCTGTATAGTGTATCCACACTGTCAGTTTGCATCTGCGTTCACCAAAATATCCATTCCACTTTCATCGTACTTACTGATGTTTTCACACAGGCAGTGGGACGGTAGACTTTGACGAATTTGTGGAAATGATGATTCGATTTATGAAAAACATTGACCCGGAAACGGAAATGAGGGACGCATTTAAAGTGTTCGATAAAGACGGAAATGGCTATATCAGTGCAATGGAGCTGAGATATGTTATGACCAATCTTGGTGAGCGTCTTTCGGAGGAGGAGGTAGACGAAATGATCAAAGAGGCTGACATCGATGGCGATGGACAAGTGAACTATGAAGGTAAGTAAAACAATAACAACATTTTCAATAGAAAGAGTTTTTAACGTTTGATAAAATAAGTAAAAATCAGGTGTTCACGACTTTTACATCAATGAAAAGACTAATGCCAAATCAAAAGTGAACGAAATGACAGTCGCATCGACAAAGGGTTTGGCAATATTTTAATTTGTACCTGGTTTCGATGTGAGAAAGTTTATACACCTCACGTTTCACATATATTTAACTAGCGCACTTTGGTGGTATGCAAATTCACTCCTCCTTGATATGCATATGTCCAGGAATATTTCATGCGAGTGCATGGTGAAATTACCCCACCCTGTCACAGACACTGTCCATTTTTCCCTCTCACATAGAATAATAAATGATATGATATGGTGTTTTGAATATGTGATCTTATAGTTTACATCATTTCTTATTTGCAGAATTTGTAAAAATGGTGTGCAAAAAGTAAAGGATTTCAACGGATTTCGGAAAGGACAATGAAACAAGCTTCATTCAGCTTTTTACAAACCATTCCATGAAAATCATGCACATCTTGCACTGAAACGTAGACAAGGTCATAAATCATACATTGTCACGCGGGAAGGTCAAGGTCACCAAATCATAAAAAAAGTGAGTTGAAAGGTCAAGCTCACTACATTATGCATGTTAAATGGTCAATGTTTTTAATTATCTTGGATATACATTATCACTGAATAAGTGATGACGTAATCTGACCTTCGTTTGACCTTTGACGTCACACATCGCTCCTTCACAAAACTCTTCAGTGTAACATACATAGCCATGCATACATGTTACCTCGTTTCCTGACCTGGTGTATTATCGCTGCTACACGGAATCTGCCAAGACCCTTGGAGCGAGGTTAAATCCAGCATAGCGTCATAGTCATTCCCTACCAAAGTGTGAAAATGTAAACCCCCCCTACCAGATTGATGGAAAATGGCTTTGGTTGATATACATGCGATCAGAGCATTTGTACAGAAGACACATTTGCAGACGTTGCTGCTTTAGTCTACAAATGAGAATTGTATCTGAACCTTACAATGGTGTCCAGCTAAGTAAGTTTTAAGTGATGTTTTGTTTACTTGTAGAAATCTGATGTATCAGTACTTTACTTTAACTGTACAATGAACAGCTATAATATATATGTGAAGGCATGTGATCTGTCACGTGTTATTTGTAACTATATATATATATATACACGCAATCGCTATCGACATATTTCACTTAAACAGAAATTTATCTTTCTGATTGAATAATACCATAATGTTCCATCAATGCCGATTTCCTGCCCTTTTGTTTCTTGTAGTTGCGGTGTTAAAAAGGAAAGGATGTGGTCGGTAGTGTATAGTGAGATAAACATACGCCAACAGCGAAAAATAATTCGAGAGTGCGGCTGCTTTGGCTTTTAGAACAAAATACGAAACTACGGTTACTATTGTAATGAGTACGGTGATTGATTTGGACTGTAATTTTCTACAACAACAAATAAAAACAACACTATCAGTTAACTAACACATAATATTACTCTTATTCATTTGATTTTAGTTGGGAGGATGTGCTGGGGACATCTTGATGATTTCTTATTTTGTTTAAAGAACTCAGAAATGCACACAATGCGAAAAATCGTATTTGTTTTTTTTTTTTTTTTTATTTTGAATTTCTTTTACATTATTGCATATATATCTTTTAATTTTGAGTGTTTACAAATATTTGACACACAAAATCTACATAATGTATATAATAATCTGATAGATATACCCTGCTTGCATAATGTTCAACTTGTCAATGACAATCAACGTCGTAAATCGTAAATTTTGGTTTGGAAATGATTCAAAATGATGTCAGCAGTGAAGATATTTCGTGATAAATAAATCATGATAATTAATATTTGTGATTTGTATTTTTATTTCCAAGATATCTATCGCAAAAGGCAACAAAAAAAAACTGATAAGAAGAAACAAAATAAAAAACAGCAAACAAACAAACAAAAACAAAGGAAAGGGAAAGAAATAACAAAAAAGAAAACAAAACGAAACAAAAAAGTTTACTCTTTGCATCATATATCTATGATGAAACATAAAGGTTAAATTTGATAAACACATTCTTGTAGATGGCTATTATCGTACAATGAGCAAAGGATGAAGACAAGTCCTTTACTTTTTTTTTTTACATATTTATCTTCCTCTTTCCATCCCGAACAAAGAAAGAGTCGATATTGTACATGTATTTCAGTCACCTAAAGATAATATTAAGATTATAACGGGTCTGAACTAGATTTGTATATCGTTAGTTATCAACGGCTTACACTCGCTTTATCATGTAAGAAGAAACCTACCGACAAGATCTACATGTAAGCATTACTTTAATATTAGTTAAGGAAAAAATCAATCCAGTTCTACAATTCTATATTCTCGAGGCTCAATTTCAAATGTGAAAATAAAAAGAACCATACAAATAAAAAAAATCTATGAATTTCTTTCCTGTCATTAAGTTTCAAACACTTGCTAGTGACAAGAATACATCGCTAATATTTGTTTTCGCTCGCTAGATAGAAATACGCAGAAGCAAAACCTGAGGATTATTTCCATAGAAACAGACAAACGCACATGATGTGTGCATGGACAGATATAGCAAGCGGTGTTGACGATTAAGGTACATCGTAATCTTGCTGGTAATAACTTTTGTCTCTACAGGATACATTGATATGTTTACATAAGACGCTTCAAACAGAGTGTTTTCTAAGTGTTTGGGATGCTATACGTTAAGCGAGATATAACATATTGATCTTTTCATCTAAACTTCTTGATCTGTATATTTTATGTTATCCTGAAAGATTCTTGGCCTATCAGACTGCCAAGAATCTAAATGATTTAATTTAGTTTTGCCAAAATAGATAAATTCCTCTTTTTAAGATCTGATAAAGACTTTCTTGAAGCTTTAGTAATTTGTGGACACTGATGTAATTTGAGAGATAAATACAAGCGCATGCCAATATAGTTCACGATAGTACACTGATACCACACGTACCATCGACAATATCAACCAAATCAGTAGATGTTGCCGGGAAAGAGTTATCTCCCAACTCATGTACATTTCGTCGGGAACGAGTTATCTCCCATCTCATGTACATCTGTACACGTGCAGATAAAATGAACTCGTAAACTGATGTATTTATCGCACAAATCCCCTTTTATACTTACATATGTATCTGATGAACTTAAATTCATTATATTTTCTTATTTTGTAAACTTTTACAACAATACAAAATAGCATTTTTGATACTCATTCTTACACGAAAACTTATATATATTTTAATCCTTTCAAAATACTGGAAGCTTCTTTTAGAGTGCTATATCTTTCGATGTTATCAAATGTCTGCACAAAATATGATTTTTGACGGAAAAACCCACGAAAATTTAGCCACACGAAAATATGTATCCTTATAGTATACATTGTATTGGAAGGTGTATTATTCTGCGATACCAATGTTTTTACCTGGTCAAATACTGCTACTGAATTGCATTAAAATATAGAAAGGGACGCTGTATGTAACAAAACACATGCACAACACCTCTAAAATTTTCGAAGTTTTCTGGTTCATTTCTTTAAAATCTTGAAGCGATTAATTGCCAAGTTCCGATTGTGTTGTTTTTTAAATTCATTTATAAATCCTTCTATTCTTGCCAATTTTCCTTTTTGGACGTGTCCTCCTCTTTTGCATGTATTGTCAATCGATGTTTAGATGTGTGTTTAGTTCAGGCGTGGTTGTATAAGGCTTTGTATCCAATCAACAGCTAAACTCATTTTAGGACAAACAGTGAATATGTATGGGTGACAGGTGCGTGATTTTGAGTGCGTGTGTTTTCGGGAGACAAGTGCATGATTTTTTAGTGCATGTGTTTTCGGGAGACAAGTACATGATTTTTAAGTGCGTGTGTTTTCGAGAGATTGCAATATGTAAGTCTCCTTGTAAGAGTGCTGTTCTGATGCCAACTCTTTAAAGCTACTACACTTAAATATCAGGCCGAGGCATCAGGCAGGACGCTTCGCACGGTAACCATTACCATAGTGCGAAGCATTACGCAGGGAGTAATCACGACCATTTCAAATTTTCTTGTATATTCTGGCAAGCTGAACATCTCAAAGCTTTGGTCACTGGACACAGGCTTAATTAAAGACAGGAAGTGAGGCAGTGTCAAGAGAGACACAAGGGAAAAAAATAACAAAAAACAAAATACAAATATCATATCCGGTCGCCTCTAACGAATCATGACATAGGTCAGCAAGAACACATCTAATCCTTATCTTCAAAAGATTTCCATGCATAGATTTTTTCAATTTTTATTTCTTTTTCATCAGATCATTTTTGCGGGATTATGTTTTTCCATGTATAAATGTATCTTCAAGATAAATACTTTAGTTATATATGATACGTTAATGAAAATTGCACAATTGAATAATATTTTGACGTCACTTTTCAGTACATTTTTTTTCTTAAACGTATTGAATAAAACCATACAAATCAAACGACAACTTCGAAACAATAGATTCATATCAAGGGAGGTAACTCTTACTGCTTTGATACTCAACTTCATAGAAGTGTTCTTGTTTTTAACCTGTCAAACAATATTTCATTCGTGGTTGTCAACATAACATATAAATCGAAAATGAGATACATGCATATATGACAAATTATCAACATACATCTGATCATTTCGTACCTAAGGTGCTATTCACTTGTGTGTCTGTTGTACAATCTTTGAGTTAGCAGGTAGTAGACACTGATTGTGCCACATTTTAAGTTACTCGAATGGTGACACTGTCCAGAATATACATATGTACTTGACGTCGTTCTTACATTAATATTGAATTATGGGGCTAATGCACCTATCCAACTAAATTTTGACATTTTTCACCCAATCATTGTGCGTTTACCTCAGTCGCCTCCCAAAACTTCAACATTTAGTCCCCTAGCATCCGTAGCGAGTCCCAGAAGGAAGAAACAGCGGTATGATGAAGTTTAATTCATTGTTTGATTCTACTGTATACATTAATTACATCTAATCATCATTTTTGGAAATTTTGGACATTCGTCATACAAAGTTTGATTTGTTTTCAGTTGAGAACATAAGTATTCGTAATTTGAGTCATAGGTAGTCTTTATTTCTGTATTTGTTTATGTTGAAAATTAAGATTTCTCATCATTATGTCAACAAATAAAAGAAATACTTATAAAAAACATCACAGTACAAAATATGCCATCAACACAAACATAACCTGTAATACGACTGACACAGTCTATATAAGGAGATGTTGCAAAATACCTGTGTTTCATTTGCCAAGTACAAAGTTATAGCCATGATCAGTCGAAAATTCAACCACAGGTAAGGGCAGTATTTGGCCGACAAATTCAGACCCTTTCGAAAAAGAAACTGAGAGGTAATTGAAAAGAATATTACCTGCATAAAACTTATCATAGTATACCAACACATACCAAAATATACCAACACATACCAAAGTATACCAACACATACCAAAATATACCAACACATAGCAAAATATACCAAAATATACCAACACGTACCAACACATACCAAAATATACCAACACATACCAAAATATACTAACACATACCAAAATATACCAACACATACCAACACATACCAAAATATACCAACACATACCAAAGTATACCAACACATACCAAAATATACCAACACATACCAAAATATACCAACACATAGCAAAATATACCAACACATACCAAAATATACCAACATATACAAAAATATACCAACACATACCAAAGTATACCAAAATATACCAACACGTACCAACACATACCAAAATATACCAACACATACCAACACATACCAAAATATACCAATACATACCAACACATATCAAAATATACCAAGACATACCAAAATATACCAACATATACAAAAATATACAAACACATACCAAAATATACAAAAATATACCAACACATACCAACACATATGATCAAATTGCCTCACGGTCATCAAAGGGTATCTCAACGTTATGGCTTGCGACTTTTCGAATGATCCTGATGAAACTGAATTAAAGACTTTGTTTGATCTCGATTCGGATTGTCCAGGCGAACAACGTTCTGACTGTTATGTTCTCACCAATAATTCTGAGTCAGTTATGGAAGATGATTCCGACCAGTTTGATAATCTGCTCATACTCCTCCCTAGAGAACAGTATTTGCAAAAGATTTTGCTCCTTGCTGACAACTCGGAGAGTAAGTTGCTTTGGTATAGATCGGTACTGCACGACCGGGCACGCCACGTAAAGGGTTGTCCGTCCAGTAATCTCATATCGCGGAAATCAACCATCAGAAGTTCGGCCCAATCTAAATTGGCTCGCGACTGTTTTATTCTTCAGCAGTTTTTGAACGGTGATTCCGATGGTGAAGTTAATGAGGTGTTTTCTCAGAGACCACGTTCACAATTTGGAAAGGTCCCCGATAAACCTCCGGATGACACTAACAATGATATCACTTCTATTCGCACTGAAATCGCCCTGATGCGCAAGCAATTGCATGAGCTGAAAGATAATACCAATTCTCGTCTTGATTCGGTTATACTTGACCAGAAACAGTTGAAATCCGATATTCAGACATTGTTCTCAAATGTCAAATCCTCCTGTGAGACGATTGACAAGGTGTTTGCAGATGACATTGAACATGGGTCGGCCCCGAAGTCTCTCGCTGATCGGTTACACTTGGTTTCATCCAAAACGCTGTCACTAGAGAAATTTCGTAAATCTACTGTGGTCGATCTTTCAAGTTATACTCAGTCTATCAACGATATTCGTTTAGGTCTAGAACGCGTCAATGATGCTCGTTTTTCAAGCGGT